CTTGTCCTCAGGGGCCCGGGGCACTCCTCTGCAGACGAGCTGGCAGGCTCCCCCCTCTGCACACTGGCGGGCCCCTGAAGTCGCCTGCCGCTCACTTGAGCTTCTTGGTTAAATATAGAACACCGCTCGGAGCTCTGGAAGTCTTGTCACAGCGTGACCTGCCCAGGACTGGTGGGACAGGTAAAATGGCCCGTCGTGGTGTTTGAGGGTATTTTAAAGTAAATGGGTGCAGTTTTAAACCCCTTTGAGGTGGCTGTGCTTTTTAAAGCCTATTTCGTGCAGTCTTCAGCCTTGAACTCCAAATGCCATTCTTGACTTTAAGGGAATCACTAAGCCCATCAACCCCGGAACACCCGTTCCTCCGGAGAACTTTCCAACTTTCGTATATGCGTATCCGAGGCATGGAGTAATACATTCAGAGACTGTAGCTGGAAGGGATGTAACAGAAATCCTCTCACGGAATAGATACCATTCCAAGTGGGAGCAGTGCCTAGATTTTAGGAGTAAAACGTTCAAATATTTCAAATACTCAAACTTTCAAATATGCATGCAGAACTGTTTTTAAAAAGCATTTAGGTGACTCGTTTAGGTTTGGTAATAAGATTTATCTAGTCGTTTGTACAGAAACATCCTTTTCATGAGGGGATATGGTCAGATTTTACTCAAGTCGAGTTTTCAGAATCCTGGCCGGGGACCTGAGATTCAAAGTTAGCATGTATGTGGCCTCTGAGTTGATACTTTTTCATTCTTGTCCCAGCCAGTCTTTAAAACTTCTGTCGCTTCTTTTCTCCCTCAGCATTAATAATTAATTAGCTGCTCAGGAAATTGCAAACATTTGTGCTTGTAGCCTTTTTTAAGAGGATGTGCAGGGCAAGACTATGCTAATTATATACTTAGGGTTGCTTTTCCCTTTTTGTAATAGTGAAGCTTTTTTCTTTAAATCGCACAAAAGTTTAACATGAAGTGGTTTCTCAGTGCAGAAGAACATACGCATTTTTTGTTTCTCCCTTTACTGAAAAGTTACCCTGGGTGACTCCGGGAAGCCACATTATTTGTTAGAATTTGTCAAGCTTCCTCCTTTACCCCTCTCTTGGTTTCCACCCTGTGCTTTGATTAGGGGGATGTCATTTACCTTAAGGCATTTTAATCTTTTCGGATGTGCCGTGGCCTTGGGGCCCAGAGTAAAACTGCGTGGTATCTGCAAGGATTCAATTTGCAGAATCCTTGGCCTCGTTTAGCACGCCAGTAAAGCCCTTTTGATTCCAAAGCCTCTAATCCTTATCCCTGGATTTAGAGGCTGGAAGGAGAGAAGTGGTAGCTGTTGGAGTTTAGAAAGTCTGAGAACACTGGAGTTTTTCATCTTGTATCCTCATACGTTTTTGTCATCTGGACATACGTGTCTGAGGGATTTTTAAGTTCCTGTTTCTTGGTTTCCCCTGCAGGCCTGCTCACCTTCTCCAAGTAGGGGTGCCTGGTCTCCATTCTAGATGGCCCACCTCATTCTCAGGCTTCCTCGCTAATTTATCATTGTTTCTCCTGGAGCCCTGGTCTGTGGCCACTTCTGCTTTTTCAGCCCTACTTTTTTCAAATGGACTTTCCTCCGTAATTTTCCCTTGGTGACTTCATGATTTAGCCTAGTTTCCGTCTTTCCTCTGTTTTGTTGCACTTGCTTGCTGTTTCATGTATCCATATCTATCTACCTGTTTATGTATTTTTTTTAGTGTTCAGAGCCATCTGCTGGTTTCTTTCTGATGCCCTGCAGAGACCAACTTTCAGAACAGAACCTTGAAAACAACCCTATGTTGCTATTTGTTTCATTGTTTCTCCAGATATGAACACACTGATTTCATGGACTGGCTTCTTGAGGACTGCTTACTGCATGTCAGACATTTACAACAAAAGCAATGTTTTCCTTTGAATGTATTTTCTGAATATTCACATGCTTAGTACAGTGTGCCTATTTGAATGTTTTGTCATCCAACTGAATACTGAAAAACTCAGTTAACTGATACCACGTGTTTAAATGGTTTTGAAAATCTATGTGGTTAACTCATTTCTACACCTTAAATCTGAATATTCAAAGCCATGTAGATTTAGCCTTGATGAGAAGAAAAATTATGACATTGTTCTTTTCATTGTCTTCTGTTTAATAGCTTTTCATTCTACCGCCTAACACAGTGTCTGGCACATAACACATGCTCTTTATTGTTGAGTGAATGCCATTGATTTTAGTGATTTGAGAAAGAGTATCACGTCTGTCTTCAAAAGTCTATTCCTGCGTTGAAAATTACTGAGTACCTACTCTGTACCAGGCACTGGACATCCAAAAGTAATGTGTAGCTCCAACTCTGGAGAGGTTCTGCAGTCATTTTTATATTTGGGAAACCCTCCATTGATGGATTTTAGGAGTAGTTTTTTGTTTTGTTATTTTATGTAAAGCAACAGCACCTATAAACAGATGACTTTAATACTGTCTACCCCAAAAAGCAAGCAAGGAACACATTGTCTAAAACATGAAGATGGTTCTACTTACTATTTCATCATCCAAAGCACATGGGCTTGGTGTTTTTATTTTACTGGTAGTTGCTAATTTGTCCTGACTCTTCTTTTATTTTCTTTTAATGGCCCTGCTGGCTGTTTTTGAAAAAGTGATGTCTGTGACTCTGGAAATGTAGATGCTATGGACACAACCAAACCAACAGCCGGGGGTTTATTCCCACCAGGCTGTCACAGCTAAGATCATCAGAGCATGCTTTACCTATTTTTCTTGTCCAGTTTAGGAAAACTAATTGTTATATGTTAATCTGTGGAAGCAAGCAGCACACTATTATTTTTCATGTGCTTATGGGCTCTTTGCAACTTGAAGTTGTTGTGAGAATGGTCTCTGCTGCCATCAAGTTAACCTTCTCATTGGTAAGTACAATTAATATTGATTGGCTAAAGATTTGAGTTAATGTGGTTTTTGTTTAAAAGTCTGGATTTGAATATGTGGGTCATATCTCCTTTGTTTGTGTGTAGACTTTGGATGTTTCTCTTCTGAAAAGTCTCTGGTTCTCAGTTTTTCTGGTTGTTGTATGAATGTGAATACTTTGTTGAAAGTTTCAACATTTCTTTCATTGAAGATTGAATCATCAAGCTGGGGTGTCCTATGTGATGACTCAGTGTTGCACGTGTCATGCACATTTTTAATTTTATGTCTTCTCCTTATCCTGCTACAAAAAATAAAAAGATTAAACCCATATGCCCACACCTATTCTAGTACTGCATACTAGCACCTCTCTTCAGAACTTGAGCATCGCCTGGGATTCAGCAATGAGGTGGATGATATAAGAATATTTCATAACCTTTCTTCCAGGAGTTTAAAAAAAAAGCCATGACTGTTGTATTCATTTTTGGAATATTTTGTGAATAATACACAACAAAGAACTTTTATGTTTCTTGTTGATTCTTGCTAGTTTTCCCACAGTTGTGGAGAAAATTCCTTTCTTTCCTTAGGCCACCCAGGCTTCATTAAGGCTCCCTAGGTCTTCATACAGTTATACCCGATTCAATGCTGTTTGTGCCGTCAAAGCCCGTTTCCTTCCAGTGGAGACCTAGTGATCACAGAGCTTGATGTCACCAGGGATGTTGAATGATGCTGTAATGAAGATGTTCTCATTTTATATTTCTCCTGTTGCCCTGTTTTTTTTTCTTTTGGTCAGATTTTAAGATAACTGAATCTTTCCACTTAGAAACTGATGCTTGTCTCTTCCAAAAGACAAGTAATAACATAAACCTTCAAGCTCACTTTTTATTCATTCTACTCCTGTGTGGGCAGAAAGATGTTATGTGAGTTGGTGCCTTGATCCTAATTAGAAGAAAAAAGTTAGTTGGTTAGGGTCTTGTCTTGATTTGGCTCTGGATATCTAGCTGTCATCTTGTAAATGATGATAATGATGCTAGTCGCTAGTGAAATTAAGTTATTTTATATTGAACCGTAAGGAAAAACATGGGTTATCTTTGCATGTTCAGCCTTATTTGTTTACTCCCTGAATATGAACTCAGGGCAGATTTTCAGAA